TACGGACAAGGCAGAGTTTTACCTCTGCCTGCTGTCAATCCAACGTGTCGTTTTCCACTGGTTGTTTTCTCGGTTAGCTCGGTTAACTATGGTAAATCATCCAAAGCTAATCTAATCAAAGAAAGCAGAGTTTAAAAAATAACTGCAGTGGCTTCCTTTAAATGGAAATGGAAGGAAAATGATATGAGGTTAATTTATATATTAAATTAAAAATTTAAGTAGTAAGCATTTGTATTCTGACTTCTTTACTCTAATAGCCCTAAATAAAATCCAGCATAACAAATTACAGGTGTGTCATTTAGTATCTATGTCAATACAGTGGTTCTGTGAGACATTGGAGGACACCTTTTTGTTTTATACTCAGCTATATTTAAACAACTAGATAGAAGATGGACAAGACTGGGAGTGGTTAAAGGTTTAACCACTTTAAGAGCTTGCTCTCACATTACATTTAAATTTCAAATGACATCAAATTACATTTACTTGCACTGCTGCAGATTTAAGTATTATTTTTGTGAAAAGATCTTCATAAAAAGTGTCAAAAAATGTTTATATGTCCTAAAGTACTAATGTAACTATGGCAAAAGTATGTACCATAATTGTTACATTATAAGGTGACTAAGTTGTAACATGGTTGGTTCTGTGGATCCATTTTTTTTGGTTGGGTGAACAAACTCCTGCCTAAGATCAGTAGGCTGTTTGCAATCAATCAATAGTGCACTGTTAGTAGATAATTAGTAGCCACCCAGGTACACCCACAAGAAGGAAACAAACGCACACAGTATAACACTTTCATTCTATTAGCTGAGAAGTTGCAAGGTGACGGTACTTCTTTGTTTCAAGGGTGAGCAGAGAGGTTTGCAAGTGGAAAGTTGATCCAAGCAGAGACAAGTTTTGAGCGTGAGGAGAAAGGTTTGAGAAAGCACAGCAAATATTTGAAAGAGAGCAGATGTTTTGAGTACAAGTTTCAAAAAGACAGACATGAAGTCCTGATTTCAGACTGAAAATGTGTGCTCTCAACTTATGGCAGAAAATTCCCCCATACAATTTTTCCAACAATCACTATGTTGTGAGGAATGACTATTTATGGGGCTCAATGCACAGACCCCATAAGTTGGGTTCAGGGAGTAAGGTGTGAATTGAGTTTAGGTTAAGGTCAGGTTTTAGCCTTTAGAAATGAATGAAAAGTAAATGGAATTCAATGAAAAGTCCTTGTGATGGCAGACAGACAGTGTGTGTGTGTGTGTGTGTGTGTGTGTGTGTGTGTGTGTGTGTGTGTGTGTGTGTGTGTGTGTGTGTGTGTGTGTGTGTGTGTGTTTATACCTTCAGCCTAAATGCCTCTGCAGCGTTGTGGAAAGCAGAGAAAATCTCTCTAAAGTCCTCAGAGCTTTTGTTGACAAAGAGCAGGGCGTGGTTTAACACAGGTGAACCTAGGATCTGTGAGGCTGTCTGCAGCAAGAGAGAGAAAGCATCAATGCACTCAATAGTCTAAGATTCTTAGAATGTCCAAATGAAAAACAACTCAGCAAAAGTCTGGAAAATCCACTGATTAATTTAAAATTTGTCTGATACCTGTCCTGATTGGGGCAAAAGAAGAAAACAATATTGTTAAAGATTTGTACATGATGAACCATGACTGCAGTAAATGATGGTTTTGATCCTTTAGGGATGAGAATACAACAGACAGCTTACCAAAAAGCTATCTGTGAACTGGATCTTCAGGCATCTTATCACAGAACTCTATTTGTTCCCATGTTTTATTGCATCTGGAAATCTTTGAAATGTACCTGGCCATCGTATTCAGTAACTGGATCCATCTGGTAGACAGAGATGAAAACAACCAGCTCCTCTTTAGGTGTTTCTGGCTTCATTCTGTACGTCTGAATGAGCTGAGACTGAAGCACACACAGAGATGAGTCGGCAGGAAAGACGGATATATAGAAGGAAAGCATGCCAAACCATGGAAACACACACGCACACACACATACATAATACACACACACACCTACACACACACCTACACACACACACACACACACATATGTGTATATATATATATATATATATATATATATAGGAGCCATACGTACATTGTTGGAGCTTGATACAGAATGTTGTTTTGTTTTGGCGTGAATTTGACTTTTGCTCTGCTGTTTGAAAGAGATGGGCATCTGTGGTTGTATTGAGCTTGAGCTTGTTACGTGTTGCCTTTTGATTGATTGTTTTTTGTCTAATTAGTTTATGAAAGATTAGAGCATGCTCACTATAGAAGTCTGGCACCATTAGAGGAACACAGTCTTTTGACCGTCACTTTCTATTTGTTTTTATTTTGAATCTGTTAGTTATTTTTACTTCCTTTTGGATCCAGTAAAGACTGGAGAATGAATATTGGATTCAAGACCTCTTTTTTCTAGAAGAAACGTGTCACGTCCGAAAGAGCTTTGATGGGGCTAGACTAGTGAGAGCTTGCCACACTTACAATATATATATATGAGGCCGAGTTGACCGAATATTTTCCGTATTTGACTGTTTTTTGTTTGCTTTTTTAAACGACGGGAAAATTTGAAGCCCGTCCGTCATTTGACAGGTTATAATTAAAACCCCTGACTGATGCACATGGGCAGACATTATAGACTTTACGCAAAGATTTAATCGCTGAGGTAACTAAAGTCAATCAATAAAAATAATCCTTTCTAAATATCATCTCATGGACTCTGAACTAAATGCGTCTTTCCAGGCACGTGCAGAGGGGGGGGCTGGGGGTGCTTGAGCACCTGCCCTTTTTGCTCCTTGCCCCAAAGTGCCCTTTTGGTCAATTTTTTTTTTGTGGTCATATTATTATTTTCAAAGCCCTCTTCTGACATATAATAACATGTACTAAAATTATTTTATTTTATTTTATTTTTTTTGTACAACATAATAAGCCGGTCACCTTGTTACCTTTGACCTGTTGCCTGTGACGCATGACGCAGTTGCCTGTCACGCAGTGAGATAAGGCGGCTAACTGGAGCTCAACATAGCGAACGTTCCAGATTACAGAACAGTTTTTGAATTAAAAAAAAATATTTTTTGGTGAATAAAGTGGAGTAGACTTGCTACTTGTCAGATGACAGAAAACCACGTTGAACTTTGTATAGTTTCTGCTTCAGCACGGAGTCGCGGTTTAAGCAGAGAGGAAATGAAATGCAACAGACACTGACAGGCCTCTGCGTCTGCCTTTCTCTGAATATCTACTGAGCAGGAGGAGACAGCCAGGTGAGGAAAAACTGTTCTCATCTACCGATTCAGTATTTTTATCATATAGGCATTAGGCTGTTGTTGTTGTGCTACTAGCTTGCTGCTAGCTAACGACTTTGCTAGCAAAGCTAGATAATTGAAAAGCTTCTTCCCTGTATCGTTAATGATAGCAGTCATTCTTCAGTGTCGCTTATGCAATACGGGGCACATCGCCCATCCAAAACCGATCATCTCCATAATGGATATATGTCCGATCTTCTAATTTCCTTTGCTGCATAATATACATTGTATTTATTCTGGCGTTAGGTAAATGTATCTTGAAGGAGAATAGCACTTAAAAAATAGACCATATTCATTTAGAATTAAAAATAACTCACCCTGAATTACCATGATTGATATAATGTATGTAATAAAAGGCAGGCAGCTCTTTTTTTATAAATTACAGTCCACTAAAAGGTTGCATTGTGCCCTTGTTTATATTTTTAATAGTGTAATTCTGTAAAGACAAAATATGTCTGGTCTAGCTCTGATTTACAAATCTTGCTAAATTGCGGGTTTGAATATTGCAATACTTTCCTATAACAAAATAGACCTGCAGAAAGAAATTACTTATAAAATATCTTACATATGCATAGTTACATGCTCTATATAGAGATTTTCCTTAACTTTGATTGTATATCTCACAATTTTGTAATTTATCATTGTTTATTAAACTCAGAAAGCTGAGTGGTTTTGTTAATATTCTGTCCTAGAATGCGGTTAGATGTGCCCCTTTTTTTTGAGCACCTGCCCCTTTAGTGGTCTCTGCACGGCCCTGGTAATATCTATCTGTTTCGGAAAAGCGAAACTACGCAAAAGAATCCTCGTAAAAGCGCACGCCCAGGCCGTCCACAAGGTAACAAAATATATAATAATAATAAAATAAAATAAAATAAAAGTTGAGCCGCGTTGAGTTCATACCCCAACAGGTGAAATGCTGGTAATTTAATTGGAGTCATTTAATTTCATTTATTATAAGTTATTGGAGCCACAGTCAGTGGTTTTTGTAACTACGGAGAAGAAGTTAGATGCGTTTATCTGCTTTATTTGTGATGGGATCTGGGTTCACAATTCAACTAGGTGAATATTAACTAAATAGCCGATGTTAATGTGATTATAATTTGATGGGTAAAAATAGAACATGATCAATTTTTTTAAAGCTGTCTGTCAAAATGATGAACAAAAAAGTCTAGCGCAACCTCTGATATATTAGATGCTATAAATATATTTAGAATGACAACATGAGCTAACTCATTCATCATTCATTCTACGTTTTTGAGAAAAAAAAATCTATAATTTTATATCACTTGTTGACCGTTACCTATAATGTTTTACTAAGGTCATTATAGATGTAACAAAATAAATGTCAACATATTTTAATAAATACCTAATATATAAATAAGTATATGTATAAATATTTTAGGAGATAAAATATATTCTGGGAAGAATCTAAAAAAGTCCCAGATTAATGTGACATTCTTCAATATTGGAAAGTCTTAAAAATAAAAAAAAATAAAAAGAAATAAAGTAAAAAATTAATAGCGCATGAAAACATGTGACGTGCTATTAACAATTTTCTGAAAATTTTCAGAAAAATTTTGAATTTTAATTTCAGAAGTTTTTAGTATTCTATTTAGTTGTTTTCAAAATTCCAAAGAATATCTGAAATTACATTAATCATTTCTGAGTTTGGGGGGAATGTTATGCCGCTAACTACTTATTCACATTTTCTTTCAATGTGACCAGCTAATCAGTTCAAAATTAAGCTTTTTTTGTGCAGATGGTATCGACTGTTTCAAATAGTTTTTTTGTGTCAGTTTATATGTTTTTGTCATGACTATACTTTTTTGAGCAGCAGAACAACATCCTGAGTGACGGTATATTTGCTGATGACTTCATCATCCTGCGTCACAGCAAAGCGGATGTCAGGGAGGTCGATGGCTGCAGCGTAAAACACCTGAACCAACTCATGGTTCAGCTCCTTCACACAAACAGAGAAAGGGTTATACTTTGAGTAAAGAATTAAATTTTGGTAGAAGAAATTAAAAAATGTGTTTGCTTACCTTGAAGAAACCAACCACAATTAGATCGTCTATGGCCTCTAATTGGCTCAGATCCGCAATGAGATCAGCAGATGTCCCCGCCCTCCTCTGCAGCCAGGTCAAGATGGAAGCTGAACTCTGAGGAACTTCATCACAATTCATTAAAAAACTTTTAATGAGTATTTTTACTGACAGCAGAAAAGCATAGTGGCTTTTTCAAAAAGCTTAAAGACAAAAATAACAATAAAACTGTTAGAATTATGTTTGTTATCATTCTTATATTTGTAATCTTATGTTATTAGTTGTTTTTCTATTTAGAAGTTTAGTGTTCATATTTGTTGAAACTGGAGACACAATTAAATTTTCCTTAATCTCAAGCATGTTTTTACAGATGGTGACTCAGATCTTCCTGGGATACTCCTGAGCTGTAAACCTATCTCTGTGTTAATTAAATTTTGTGTCCCCCTTCTTTGTTTCTGAATCCACATCCTACTGTGAAGACAGGATGTGGGGTTTCACCCCCTCCATTCCTTTTCACACCCTTCTTGCTAATAAAAGAGACAAACAAACTGAAGGTTTTCAGAACACATGGTGAGCGGCTTGGAGAAGCAGTTCACTGTGTCTTCTCCTTCTGCAGAAGTTTGGTTGAAAACTCATATGCATTGTCTGTGGCTCTTTCTTTTTTATGTAGGTTTGAGAAAATACCTATCAAAAACTTTTTCCATAATTCTGATAATTGGCTATGAAAATGAATAGAATTATTTTGAGCTACAAATCTGAACACAGGGGAAGTTTAAAATTTTTTTTTTAAAATATTTGCTTCATATAAAATGTTATAAATCTGAAACAAATATGAACAAATGTCTCATCCATTTGTTTTTATTTTATATCCTTTTTTTTCAAATTTTTAAGTTATTGGGTTTATATTTACATTTAAGATGCCATCCCAACTCAAATACTGGCCAATCACAACATAAATAGTCACATAAAATATTAATAAAATACATATACATGCTTAAACATGTAATGAATATGAATATTAATCCATTTTTTGCAAATTTATTTTGAGTTTGTACTTCATAACATTTAATTAATTTGTAACATTTATTTTTATGGGTTGCAAATTGTTTTTAAATGATCACATTCAGAAATCATTATTTATGATTTTGATTATTTACATGTTTTTATATTTCACTGTGGCCCTCAAAAGTCTGAGAAAATGTTCTCTCTCATTTACTTACACACACAGGCAGGCAGAAAGAAGGGACTGAATCTTTGATTTTATTAGATCGACCTTTGTTCTGTCTCAATTTGTATTTCATTAGCTTTTCTTCTTTTAGGCAAAATTTATTTTTATAAGTTTTAATGACAGTAATGGACAATATGACCGAACTTAAAATATTGTTTTGCAGTGAGTTAGGTTTTAGGGTTAACCCTTCAATACACATGATTCAGCCTGTTGCAGTTCAGCAAACACCTGTCAGTTGAAATCACCTGGTCTGAAGCAAGGGAACACCTAAAACATGCAGGGCAGTGAGCCTGGCAGACCAGGTTTGGGAAACACTGACTTAGACCATAATTGTAACCACCTCTTCCTATGCATTGTTATTTTAATGTGTTTTTATGATGTTAGTTTAAAATATATTTCTTTTTAGTAGTAGTTTTACAGGGTAACATCTTGACTGCATTGAAAATGAAATCTTACTGTCAGTTTTAAATGGGTTTATTAATTTTATTAGTGTTAAAGGTCAACTTCTTAAAGTATAACCATTAACTGGATCTGCTAAGTAGCCACTGGTCACAGGGCCTCTAGATGGATTCTTTTTAACCCTTGTGCGTGTGAGGACTGAGGTAAATGATACAAGTTTTACGTATCATCAGTTGGACCCCATTTGTAGACACAAGGGTTAAGGTAAGATTGTTTATGTCTTGTTCATGATAACTTGAAATAAATAAATATGTTTGACATTTCTCAAGCCAAACTACAGCTATTTCTTTTTAAAGAAAATGTCCAAAGAGTGTTGCATAAGCCGCAAATGGGAATGTGTAACAGAAATATGGTGGCAGATACCAGGGCAGAGAGCCGGGTTGGTTACATCTCCAGAGAGATAGAGTCTGATGCTGGGCTGTCCGCTCCCATGGAGCTTTTTCGCCAACTCTTTTTCCGTTGTCACATCAATGACTGCCGGCTTGACCTCTGACCCCTGAAGCTCTGCGGCAGCAGCTTTGAATGCAGCTGCAACACGATGACCTTCTGATGTCAGCGGAGTGTCTGGCAGACACACAGAGGGAAGATGAATGTTAGGAGCTTCTTCTCTAAGGGTGTGTTTCACACATGTGTAACTTATCTATCCCTGAAGGTTAAATCCAGCTGTGTGTTTGTGTGTGTCAGTGTGTGACTTACAGAAGTGCACCAACAGCTGCTTGTGTTTTCTCAAAGCCCTTTTGAAGTTCCCCTTTTCAAGTTGTAAAATGCCTTCCTTCTCTGGTATCGTTGTGTCTCCCTGCAGGTCAAGTTGTGCGTCCGCTGCAGCGGACACACACAGACAGAACATTGCTCCAAGCAGCAGCAACCCCAGCTTCTTCATGACCGACTAGCAACAGTTTGATAAGCTGGACACAGGACGTTTTTCGCAAGGAAGTGAGACAGTGGACTTATAAAAGGTGGGTGTGTCTCTGTGTGTGTGTGCGTGTGTGTGTGTGTGAATGCTTTTGTTATCTGCTAACAGACTCAACAATCAGTTGCTTATTAACTTCCCTCCCAGAGGCCTGCTGTAATTCTGCTATTGGCTGCTGCTCATATCGTATCAGGTCCTAATATCAATACGTCCTTCACCTGCCAGACTTTAAAGGTCAACAAGGAAAAGGAAACAAGTATCTTGTAATTCACAAGATGCATGGAAGCATAAGAAAATTATAGTAAAACAATGGTCTTCTGATCATAAGAATAGAATAAGTAATTGTGTGTATAAATACTGGTTAAGCTGAATTTTCCTTATAAAAATGATAGTCAACAATGTAACTGTAAATTAACAGTTTCAGACAGATTTGCTTCAACCAAAATAAATAGCATAAAAAGAGGAGAGGAGAGGAGAGGAGAGGAGTTAGGGGTTAGGTGTGAGGAGGAAGGAAAATGTGTAGGTTTGATAACCCTGTTGTTGCACAACTTGGACTCACTTTACAAGTGCACCATAAATGTTTCCATCATGGTCTTATGTTAAAAGCAGGGTGCATATGGAGTCTTAAGGAATTGGATAAGGAGGTTTTCACCAAGAGAGAACAAATGGGCAGATTTCTTATAGAGCTGAGCTGTGTAGATTGATTATCTCTATTAGTTTTTGTTTGTGAGTTTTGGTTAGGATTCGGTATGTAATGGTCAGGGGTGCTTTATATCACTATGAAATCCCCCTGACGGCAAAACAGATTGGTGTAGGGAATCAAAGCACAGGGTAGCCTAACCAGTTTCAGTCCGTTTACACATGACTGCCGGCAGTCACACGTAAACATGGTTATGTAAGCTGCAGCGTGTAAGCAGTTAAAAGAGGCTAAAAGAGACAGAGGAAAAGATAGAATCTACAACAAAATAACTGTCAATATTGTACAGCATGTCGGCCTTCATTTGTTTTTTATGTTTGATCTTTGCGTGAATCTACATGCTTGGATTGTTTCTCATTGTTGTTAGGTACCAGGCTGGTGGGCCTGCTGGGTTCCTTTTCAGATCATCCACCAGAGGGCGCCTGATGACCGTAGGTTCTTGGAGGGCGTGCCGGCAGGTCCAAACCAGACGCACCTGTGGGGAATTGTCGTCTCCTGGTGAAGTATATGAGCAGCTGGCTGCCAGCACACCTTCGCCAGAGTGTTTGCCTTAACTGGTACACTGAGCCCTCAAGAGTTTACGCTAAGTACATTTGTTGATATTCGAGTAGTTTAGAGATCTAAACTTACCCTTGTGATCCTTTTTCCAGGACGCCTTCAAGGGCCTTCAGGAAATCTCGAAATATTGTAATATTGAATTATTATTATTATTATTATTATTATTATTATTATTATTATTATTATTTTGCTTTGAAATATAATGTGCAGTGTCCCCAATGCATTTGTGTTCTTTAAAATGCAATTTATTAGAAAATTTTTGAGGTTTACTCATCCTTTTAAACACAATACTATTATTTTGAACGGTCCGTGTATTTTAAGGCAGTTCGTTTTTTCGTTTGAAATGAAAAAAGAAAAAACGAAAATAGACTTGTTTGGTTTTTTTGTTTGTTTTTCGTTTATTGAACCAAAATCGGAATGAAAAATGAGAAAACGAAAACAATCCGTGTATGGTTCGTTCTTTATTTTCTCGTTTCAAAATAAAATTGCAAAAACAAAACAAGCATGTGTTTTATTGTTTTTTCGTTTTTAAAACGAAATTAGAAAAACGGCAATTGCAAAAATAAAAAAAAAAACGAGCTGTCAATTTTGCTTTTCATTATTTCATTGTTGACAATCGATCTGACCCGGAAGTTCTCTCTGTCCGGTTTACACAGGGGCCGTATTACACATACACATTATGCCCAGCACACTTTGTTTTTCTACACTCGTCCAAAGCGACATGTAATTAATTTGATCATGATACTTTCACACAGATAGCCTTTAACTCCGACTCTGTTTTGTATATGAAGCTAATGGCTGCTAAATGCAGCTTCCCATTCAGTAAATTTCTAAAGGGCAAGTCCTTCCATTTTTTATTTTTTTTTTACCAACCTTTAATCTGCTCTGGTTTAAAAACTCTTAAACTGCGACTAGAACATTCTGTCAGTGATTCAAACCCTTTAGTTTAAGTTTTTTCCTTTCTGAATAGCATTAGCATACCAATTATAATCCGGTATGTCATGAACAAACATGGATAAATATTGTATATTTATCCAAAATATACAATATCCTGGATAAATATTATTTACCCAAATTATATTGCATATATTGTATGTACAAAAATTGTATATACAATATATACAATATACTAATAGATAGATAGTAGTATCTATTTCACCTGGTATCTACCTGAAATAGATACCAGATACCTGGAACTAAATAGAAATCTATTTCTGGTGGAAATAAATTTCTACCAGGTAGGAAATGTTTGAAATAATGTGTCAGATTATTAAAAGCTTAACTAAATAAATGTTTGCCTACAGAAGAGGATTTGGGAAAGAAAAAAAAGGTCATCATTCTGACTTTAATCTCAGAATTCAGACTTCAATCTAAAAAAAAAAAAAAAAAAAAAATTTTTAAAATTATTTGGGGTTAGAAAAATGATATAGGCCCCTTATCCTCTTCTGTGGTTTAACACCACACAATATCTTTTCACATTTTTATAAGTGACATATTACTGTCCAATTAGAAATGAAAACCTTTGTCCCTTTCATGAGACTTATTTATCCATCCATCCATTTTCTTCCACTTATCCGGGTCGGGTTGCGTTGACAGCAACTTCAGAAGGGAGGCCCAGACTTCCCTCTCCCCAGCCTCTTCTTCCAGCTCCTCCAGGGGAATCCAAAGGCGTTCCCAGGCCAGCTGAGAGACATCGTCCCTCCAGCGTGTCCTATTTATTATAACTTATTAGACTCAACTGACTAACATAATGAACAACTTTTGAGTTGATACTTTCCATTATTTCTTAGCACTGGATTTATAAGCAAGACACATTAAAATAATTATTTCATATTTAATTTGTATCAACCTGTATGTAGTCAGAGCTTTAAACTCAAATCTTACAAAATAAACAGGGACAAAATGTTTTCATAAAAATGTATTTATTACAATAACATACAAGCAGACATTCAGCCAGTCTTTGGTTAATCATGACAAAATATTCCTACAGTTTATGTATATAAAACATGAGGAGACAGTGAAGAAGACAATGTCATGAGGATGAAGAGGATCACTGGGAGATTCTGGGAAGCTGCATCCAAACCTACAGCTGTGGCCTCTCCTCCTGAACAGCTGCCTGTATGAAAGAATAAAAAATGTATATTAAAAAAAGTTCACACTGCACGTAAGAAGCCAATTGAAGAGAAGAATATATTTCACACACACGCACACACACACACATAAAAAATATGAATTTACAAACTACAAAAAAAATCAGAGGAAGGGAATATTAGTAACTGGTATTAGAAGAGAACACTGTGTCAATGTTTAGAAGATACTAACACCTTCAGAA